ATATGCCCTGCCATAGAATTGATGTCGTTTTGAAAAAAATGGATGATATTAGTTTTCAACTGAAAGTTAGGCTACCCAATGAAGGATAAACAATACTAGATTGACTCTAAATAATTTGTGGAGTCATGAAGTCCCCAACTAGTATGTTCCCCCATCGACTATTGCCTCTTCATTTAGTTGAATAAATGGATTATTCTATGTATTAGCCATCTCTTGTCGATGTGCTTCGCTTTTCCTACAATGAAATATACGTTCGATTTCCAGATTAGTTGGTATTAGTTCACCTTCTCCCAAATTTCGCATAAAATACCTAAAAGAGAAAAAATAGAATCACCAAAATAAATTGATAGAAAAAATAAAATAAAACAAAATAAAAGTAAAGAGCTCGAATTAATGCCAAGGTAAATAAACTTAAACTCAAATACAATCTCCGACAACGGCATCAAAAACTTGTCACGAGAATATTCTTCATTTAAAATACTGTAAGTGCACGGTTCATTAACAAGTTGTAGAATGGATTTTGAGTTCAAGTATCATCCTCACAGAGATTGTACTAGTTCAAATTCGAATTAATGTAGCTTTAATTGAAACAATAGAAATTTGTGAATTTTCCTATAAATTAAATAATTTGCTTATGAATGCAAGATCTGACTTAACTAAAATAAATGCAATATTATAATTAAATACAAGTTTTATAAAAATATGATGACGAAAAGTGTACTAGAATCCCGAATCTCCTCATATCAATCCCGTTTTAACCCTAGGAACTTATAAATTTGATAACACGATTCAATTATGAAGACCAATATTTCTAATTTGTTTAATAATATCTCTCGAATAGAATTAAATCTTTTCTTACATGTGATCCAACTATATTTTTATGATGGATGCGAACATATAAAAATACATTAAGATTTATGAATATTTAAAGATCATGTAACATGTAGCGGTATATTTGTATCCTCTATCGAATTCTACGACATGTCTAACTCATTTTCAATTTTTCGAAGGTAAAATAAGTCACAAAATTCATACAATTATTGTGCATATAATTGTAGAGGAAATTAAATCCATATCAATTATTCAAGAATTGAAACCGTGCTTTGAACGTAAAAAATAAATAATATTCAAAAATCAAAAGTTCATGATATAAGTTTCATCGTAATCCTATCACTAAAAATATTTAGCTACTCATAATGTCTCAATGTAAATTGATGGAACGTGATTAATTCTCAAATTCCTTGCACAATTTATAGATGAATTCGTGACAAAAAAATAATAATTTTGAGGTTGCTTATCCGTCCTCTGTGTGTATTGTTTTTGTGCCTTCTTCGTCTACATAATTCCCCTCAATGTCATATGTTTTTGTCGGTTTTTTATTCCCAACCGTCGCCAACCTCCGTTTTCCACACACACACACACACACAGATATATATATATATATATCTTCTCTGCCGCCCCTTTTTCTTTTTTATCAAAGGAATCCCCATTTCCCAGCTTCTGTCTCATGTCTGTTTTTATTGCCAGCCAATTCATTGATTTGTATTCTTATGGCAGTTCAAAGTAAAAAAAAAAAAGCCCAATTAGATTAATGCTTGCTTCCAAATTCTCAATTCCTCCATGTAGTGCATTTTCTTCATTCTATCCTTGATTTTGATCCTTCAACATTTGTTGAGATTTAGTCCACAAACTTCTATTGAATAGCCAATTGATCCTTCTTTACTATCCCATTGCTTTGAAACGGATCCAACATTGAAATAAAAGAAAATCAACCTAAATAAAATTTACCTCTTTGATGACATAAAGACTTAGTAATTTGACTCGAATAAGCGCAAAAAATGTACTTATCACTTGAGTCTAGTTTTCTTTCATTTGGTCTATAAGGCCTTGTCTTATTTAGACTATCCCAAATGTGTAAATGCCTTATGCTAGACCTGCCTAGCCACATTTCATAAGGTATTTTAACTACTACTTGTTTAGAATGTATGCTGCAATTTTCAGCGCTTCTCCTATAGTGATTCTAGTAAAGAAGAATAACTTATCATTCTTCTTACCATGTCTTTAAGAATTATATTATGTTTCTCAGCAACATCATTCATGCTAGGTTTTTATGGCATTGTGCATTGTGGGACGATTTTGCAATCCTCTAGAAATTTTTCAAAAGGTCTTGAACGTTGTTCGTCTGAATGAATCTTCCATAGTATTCACCACTATGATCAGATTTGACAACCTTAATTTTCTTGCCTAATTGATTTTCAGCTTCGAGTTTGAAAATTTTAAAAATGTTCATAGATTGTGACTTCTCATGAATTAAATATAGGTACTCATAATGAGAATAAATGTCTATGAACGTAATAAAATACTGTTGACCATTCCAAGAAGTTGTAGGGAATGGTTCACAAATATCAGTATATATCAATTCTAAGACGCTTGAATTCCCGTTGGCACCTAATTTCCTTATGTTCGTTTGTTTTTTCTTTACACATTCAATGCAAACTTTGAAATTTTTTAAATCAAGTGGATAAAGAATTCTGTCAGATACAAGTTTCTCTATTCTTTGTTTGGATATATGTCCTAAATGATTATGCCAAAGTATAGCATAATTCTCATAAGTTAATTTGCATTTTGTACCACAAGTGGTTGTTTGCAAGGCTTTATTACACAAGGTAATTGTATCCAACAAGTAGAGATTATTAATAAAAAATCTAGTTGCAATAATTTTTGAATATTGAAAATGACTAACTTATTATTTCCAAATGAACAAGAAAAATGAAATTTGTCCAAAGCAAAAATAAAAATTAAGTTTCGTCTAAATAATGGTATTACATGTCTCTTCCAAATCCAAAAAATAACTAAAAGACAAGCTAAAAGTTCATATTACTTCCACCTCAATAGTTTTGCCATCATCCACATATATGAATATTTCCGCATTATTTGACTTTCGATTCCACAGGCAACCCTGCATGGTCACACTTATATGGGTAGTAGCAATAGAATCTACCCACCAAGTATGACCAGGTACAAAAGCTAAATTAATTTCAGAAGAAATGAAAGTGCGAAGTGTATATTCCGCTATGCGATGTATTTGGAACATTCCTTCTTTATATGTCCAGCTTTCTTGTAGAAGTAACACGTAAATTCCTCATCCGTTTCATCTGTTGTTGGGTTGGTGTGTTCCAACAATAGATTCCTTACCCTTATCCCTTTTTCGTTTCTTGTTCTTAGAGATAGTGGCTAAGTGAGCACTTTCTGTCTTTTCTCACTTAATTTTTTTCTTGATCTTACACACAGCGAGATATGAGCTCATTAAGAGTTCCTTCTGAGTTCATTGTAAATTGACTATATTGTGCACGAAGAGAAATGAGTAGTAGATGCAAGAAAAAGTCCTTAGATAGCTCTAGCTTTAGTACCTTTAATTTTGAAGTGACATTAGACATTTTCATAATGTACTCCCTTATGTTCCCCTTTCCTTTATACTTCATTGAGACAAGACAAGGTTAGCCAAAGACGTACTTGTCTTTACTTTTTTGTTCTTTGCAAAATGTTTATCAATTTCCTTAAGGAACTTTTTAGCATTGTCCACATCGAACATAGCGCCCTAAATGCTTCCGAAATGATGCATTTCATCGTCATAACTCATAAGACTCATACGCTTAAATCTCTCTCTCCCACCTCTCATGTTCCCTTTTATACCCAAAGGAACTTTGAGAAGTGGATGGTGCAGGTTATTCTTTTGTTAGTGCAAGGTCAAGATCCATGCAGTTGAGAACAATAGAAATGTTCCATTTCCAAGTCTTGAAGATATATAAGACAATTGTGCCAAAAAAAATTATTTTTGCTCGAAACTTCGCACTATGGAGCCCATGGGTGCCGCCGTGGCGCCAAGTGCACTGGTTTCTGGAGTTCTAATTTTTTTTCTTTTTTTATTCTTGAGCGAAAAAACCCCAAAAGTAAATTCTGAAAATTGGTATTTTTCTTCCTAAATCCATTATGAAAACATCCATATAAGAAAAAATAATAATCCTAAAGGTTTCTCTTGCAAATTTACAACGAATCAAAATTTAAAAGAGAAAACTAAAACATCAAAATTGTACCATGAATAGTAAACTTTAAAATCTCCAATAATCACAATCATGGCCATGAAAATCAAGAAAATTATACATACTTCATATTTAACCATAAATATTTATATGTGCATCCAAACAACAATTCACAATATGTATGGTGAAACAATATATCAACAAATTCATAAAGCATAACTATCATTATTATTCCTAATAATTTGATATGAATTCTAGCTCTGATACCACTTGTTAAATCTAAATTTAAAATAGACTGATAAAATCCTGTGTTCAATCTATCATATATGTCAAAGGGTCTCGTATCAAATTATCAAGAATTCTATAGTAGAGAAAATATACATGAATCCATAGTGATTAATCAATGGGGTTTGAGGTATTCCATATACTAATTACGGTACTCAATGGGTTCTCTCACTGATGGGGAAGGGGAGATGTACAACCGTGAATGATTACCTTTGAGGACTATAACCCTATAAAGTTCCTTATATGCCATGTTCTAATTAGAATTCCATTAGCACTAATTAGTCTAGTAATTGGTAACTGCATATTGCAAAGCCGATACCTAATAGATGCTTCTGTAACTAGATTTCTTAAATTGATCTTAGATATCTCATATAATAATTGTTAATTAAACATATATGCCCATCATATGAAATAATATCCCAAACATATATGCCAAGTGCTAAGGTAAAACCGTAAAAGTTTTCGGGCATCACATTTATTAAAAATTCAACTGGGTTTACATATTGAATGAACAGTGATTGAATACAGAAATTCACTAATCATCCCACTGGTTTACACAGTGAATGGACCTTCTTTTTATTCTTAATCATAAACCAAAACGTGGCGGCCTTAAAAGTTCAGAGAGAATGAAGAGTGGAGTAAATATAGAGTAAATTAAACTTCATTTTTTTTGGCTTAATATAGGGAAGCAAAGAACTTCTTGAGACACCTATTGTAGACGCAAGGGCGCTCTATGTGAACCAGGTGACCTGCTTTCTCTATGCCTTCAAAAGTAGCCTTATCTCCTAGCTGCCTACAATTAATTTCAAGGGGAATTTATCTGATAAGCAGAATGTATTTGAGTTAGGTTATAATCTGTTGCACAGAAATACTTACTCTTTCATGTTTTGAGCAAGTTCCAGCTTGAAAATCTGATCCTCCTCACCCCATAGAAGATGTATTCTCTGTTATCACACACACATCAACATGCTTGGAATTTTAGAATATACATGATATTAGTTCAATGAAGTTATACCTGTGGAAATTTTGGGATGACAATATCTTTGTTGCTAACCACCAGGCCTTCAAGCAATTCAGCTCTTTCTTTTCTGTTGTTAAACATCGCCTGTTAATGTTATGTGGTTTATTATAATTTGGTAATGTCCAAAAAGCTAACGCTCATTTTAATAACAATAAAACTATTTGTATAAAGTTGAGTTACAAAAGTTGGGTTATAAAGTGTGTTGCCAAAATTCAGATCGTTGATTTCAAATGATTTAAAAATCTATTTAAATGTTATTTTGTCAACTAACTTTGTACATGTAGCATAACTCATTTAATAAATAAAAATTGGATGACACTGACACGCAACCAGATAGGTGACAAATGAATAACCCTGCATTAATATAGTGATCTAATTTATTGCTAATAGTTCAACGCTCATGTTTTTCATTTTAAGAAAAAAATAAACAGAAGGAAAAACCCTAAAAAGAAAATAAACAGAAGGGAAACGTTTTTCTTAATTAAAGTGTGTGTATATATATATATATA